TGGGGTGGGGTGGGGTGGGTTTTGATTTTTTAATTTTTTGATTTAATTGTTTTATTATATAAAATATAAATTTACTATTTAAACTTTTTAAAATTGGTCAAATTTTGGTCAATCATTTGACTGGTCAACTAACAGTCAAATATTTAGACTTCAACTGCATATTTTTGAAAGGTTAGAGACATGTATTGACACAAATTGAAGGTTAGGGTAAAGTCTATAAAAATTGAAAAGAATAGGTCTGCTGTTGCAATTTTCCTCAAAATCTATTAAACATTTTATTTTAATCCCACGAAACGGGCTAAATCTAGGTGATCTTTGAAATAAGAAATCACAAGTCATAACCAATAAACAACGGGGGATGCCAAGATGTAATCTATAAGACCAATACAAACAAAAGGATCACGCTACAATGAATTTCAGACTAGAGAAAAACTAATAACACATAACTCAACAATGTCCCAAAATGTATAGATAGACAAACAAAATAGTTGAACCTGAGAACACTCTGGTTTTTCTTCTTCTCTCTAGATAATTTTACTGGTCGACTGTGGTGAACTCTTGCCACTCCCCATCAACTGCCTCTTTCCATAATGTGACACTGTTGTCCCCAGAAGCCACGGCCAACAAGTTCCCAGTCAGAGACCATGAGACCCTCCAAACAGGAACCTTAAAGTCCTTCAAAACTCTACCCTCCCATTGATCGCTTTCTTTTACCGCAGTCCATATGACCACCGTACCATCCTGCGAAGCACTGGCAATTGTTGATTTTGGAAGCCCCAAATTCGGTGCCCAGGCAACATCTCTCACCCAATCGGAGTGCATTTGTAGAGCAGGGAAACAGTCCATCTTCCAAGTACCGTTATATAGCTTCCAAACTTTCACTGTATTATCACAGCCACCAGATGCCAACTTCTGAACGGGATCCAGAAGTCCAGATCCAACTAAAGCACCAGGGGCCATTGAAGGGGCCCATGAAACTGAAGTGACTCCAATGGGGTGTGCTTGGTCAATTTTCGTTGTTTCCCAACTACCATCTGATCGCGCTGTGTAGACTGAGATATTCCCATCAGCCGATCCACAAGCCAAGCAGAGACCCAGCTCATGTGGTGCCCAAGCAATAGAATTGACAGATGATTTGTGGTCGGTGAAAGTATGAAATTGAGACCATTCGCCTTGATTACCTTCCTTCCAGATGATGACCTTACCATCATAAGAACAGGAAGCAAGCATCGAGTCAAACTTGGGGTGTGCCCAAGCTACCTGCCAAACTGGACCTTGATGCCCAATCAAAGTAGCGAGATGCTGAGAAGAAGAACTGTTGCCAACACCGATTATTTTTATAGTCGCATCAGACGACGCTGTTGCCACTCGTTTTCCATAATAATCCATGGATACATCATGAACCACGTCGTTGTGACCTGTTTCGATCTTTTGTGCCGGCATATTCTCTAGTTGCTTATCTCTGACACTCAACTTTCTCGAAACACTGTTCTTTCTGATCTTATATCCTAAATTTTTAAATTCAAATTATTCAATAAGAAAATGGTCATCAATTCCTGAAATCAACTTCCAAATCATTTCAAACTCGTATTATAACTCAAATGCAGGAATAATGCCAGTACCTCTCAACCCATCATAGTACCAAATTAGAATCAGACTTTGAGCTATTAAGCCATCTTGGACGGTCAAGACGTGATTTTGCACTCGATTCTATATGAACTAGGAAGAATTTCAACTTAAAACCAGTGAATTGAATCCCACTGGGATTCATTAACCAAAATTGAGCCAAGGGGGATCAGTTAGACATAACGAATGTCTTGATTCAGCTAAATTTACACCCATGTTATTTCTAGATCTGCATCACACTCATATAATGACATGCTTCTCCACAAATTCCCTAACTAAACAGTATCAAAACAACCAAATATATCCTCAATCTTTATTAGAAATAAAAACATATTAAAACCTCTTACTCCGAATTAATTAATCTAATTAATAAATTGAGCTGGTCAATCCTTCTTTAGTTTATAATTAAATTCAATTGTAGAATCTAAATCCCACTTAAAAAGCATGCCTTTATATATAAAAAAAATTCCATGACGTGAAAAATTAAATCATTAAACGAAAACGAGACAGATCTATGAATTCTTCCCCCGATATCAAAAATACTCACGTGGAAAAAGAGAGAGATTAATCAACCTCAGGATAAATAAATCTAGAAAAAAAAAACATTGGACGAAGGTACTTACCAAAGAAGATCGGATTTGGATCCGACCGGGCGGGGGGCTGAAGACAGGAAAAGAGATGCCTAAATGAATACCTGAAGAAAGTGCACTATGTATGTATATATCTCGCATCCCGTATAATGGAAGAATAATGAAAACAGTAACGGTGTGCTTTTAACAAGGAGTTGAATGTTCCCTCACTTGCTCAACTTATTTCCTTAAAACACTTTCGAGTGATGACTAAATTTTAACACATTGCATTACATCGTTCACACGTTATGTTTTATAAGTCATTGAATGCTCCTGAGTGATCAATAATCTTTAACATGTTTGCACTCCATCACTCACCCATTATATTTCATTAGTCATGAACTTATATATCTATCACACTTTATTTACTGAATTTCATAATTTTTTGAGTAAACTTGATTTTTATGAGATTCAACCTAGATAAAAAATAAATAAGTAAATAAAACAAATATAGAATAGATAATGAAACTCTAAATTTAAAACGTAAAAAATGATATTTATCCAGAAGGTATAATTTCTTTAGTTGTTAAACCTTATGTTCAGTGATTAATGGAATATGATGAGCGGGTGATGGAGTGCAACACGTTAAAGTTCAGTGACAAATGAAACATGATAAGTGATTAATGGAGTAAATGTGCCTATGGATGACAAAAAATTCCATTCAATCTGATACCCTTCGGATCCCATCCTAAATGGGGCAGAGATTACCCGCCTAACTGGGGTAAAAGGGGGAGAGGACAGAAAAAATAGTCTCCACTCAGCTGCCTGAATCGTTTTAACTTTTTAATCAAACAAAAATAAAAGATGGACCAACTTTTTAATTGATAGTGTTGGACAATTAATTAATTGAGTTATTTATTAATGAGCAAAATTAATTAATTGATGGACCAAGTTTAATTAATTATATTAATTAAATATTGGATCAAATTGAGTTCAAGTGTGAGGTCAAGTCCATTTGAACATCTATTAATAAGATGTTAGGATTGAAAAATCAGGGGCGGAGCCAGTAAAAGACATTGAGGGTGGCTGAAATTAAAATAAAAAAAATCAATGAACTCATGCCATAAGAGATGCTCCATGCCCGAATATTGCTTAAAAAGCTAAGCTTACGACACAAATGATAAAGTGAGCCATATACATAAATATGTATAAACATATCAATCCCTAAGATGTCTTACTAAATCTTCGTAGCTTTTCTTGCCAAATAAAAAATCTCGAAACCTCCCTAGAAAATACAAAACGTGCAAAAGGATGATAAACATGAACAAATGATGTATATCCACCAACAAAAAATTAAGAAAAACATATTTTCACTATTAAAAGGCTCAAGGCCTAAAAAGAACAACAAATCATTCAAGTTATTAATGTTTATAACCAAAATACACCGTTCTAAAAACATTATCTAATATGGGCTTTGGTCTTCTATATCAACACATTTTAATTTCACCTGAATTGGGAAAAACCAACTAAGAATATCGAGAATTCAAAGA